ACCTACAAGGTATAGCGACCAATTTATTTTATCAGTGAGGTGCTCAATGAATCCAAGACCAGGTACCCACAGATTCAGAAACTGATCTACTCCATACTGATTACATCCCGAAAGTTGAAACATTACTTCAACGGATATCGTGTGGTGGTCATGACCGAGTACCCTCTGGGAGACATCATTCACAACAAGGATGCGAACGAGCGCATCGTCAAATGGGCAATGGAGCTATGCCCTTTCTCCTTGGAATTTGCAAGCCGTACTACAATCAAGTCTCAGGCACTTGTCGATTTCATCGTCGAGTGGACAGACTTAAGCACACCTGCCTCTCAGGGGCCCGCCGAGTATTGGAAGATGAACTTCGACGTCTCTCTCAACATCGACGGCGTAGGAGCAAGAGTCCTTTTCATATTGCCATCCAAGGAGCAACTCCGATACGTCCTCAGGATTTATTTCCCGGCGTCTAATAACGTCACCGAGTACGAAGCATGCCTGCATGGTCTGCGCATTGCGGTCGAGCTCGGTGTCAAACGTCTCTATGTCTACGGAGACTCAGCTCTGGTCATCAACCAACTCAACAAGGACTGGGATATGACCAGCGAAAAGATGGACGCATACTGCAAATCGATCAGAAAGCTAGAAGGCAAGTTCTACGGCATCGAATACACACATGTGGTCCGGGACAAAAATCAAGCAGCAGATGCGCTGTCAAAGTTAGGATCATCCCGAGCCAAAGTCCCACATGGCGTATTTGTTCAAGACCTGCTCACGCCTTCCATCAAAGAAGAAGATCCCACGGTTGACAAGCCTCCAGACCAGCTATTGGTGGCTACGGTTCTGGCGTCAAACACCACCGAACCACCTCCGACCACTAAGGAGCCTGACTGGAGAGTACCTTTCATCAAGTACCTGACATATGGTAGCGTGTTGGCAAGCACGTGAACCTCGGGAGAAAATTGGTTGTCTCTTTCCCTTTGGTATTCTCTCGATGATTGAGTTACTATTCATCTTGTGATTGGTTCACTCCTCTACGCGGTGGTATAATCACCTTACTTACTTATTTACATACCCGCAAACTAGTTGTAGCAAGCTCTTTAGTGTAGCTAGAATTGAGAGATTGCTTTGTAGCTTAAGTTCATCTAGTGGAGCTCTTTAGTGTAACAAGTGTGAGAGCTCTTAGTGAGTAGTGACTTAGTAAATTATGTGTCTAGTGATCATAGTAACTAGAATTGTTGGATAGGTGGCTTGCAACCCTTGTAGAGCTAGAGCAAGTTTGTTTTTAGCTATTTATCATACTAATCAAATTGCTCTAGTTGGTTTGTAGATTTTTAAATAGGCTATTCATCCCCCATCTAGCCATATTAGGACCTTTCACATGTGCATACATATAATCACTAACTTACGTTAAACTTGTAGGTACGATCGAAAGAATAGGTACAAGGAGAAGAATTGGGCCATGATGCACGCGGGGTACATCCACGACTGGGAGAATAAGCAAAGGGTCCTGATCGCTGAGAAACCACCGCACGACCAATGCACCTTCGACCGCTACCTCCAATGGTTACATAGGAGTACCCGCACACATATGCAGGCCCCCTACACTAACAAGCCAATTGATGAGGACGAAGACGAGGATAACATCGTTGATGCGTACGATGAGGCGACAAGGATAGAGACATGGCTTCAGAGAGCCCCACTATAGAGATACGTGGTAAGAAATTTGAATTTCAATACAACTGCACATCGGCGTTCCTATGAATTATAGTGATAAAAACTTACCTCGATTGTGTATGCAGGCAACACAATTGATAAGTCTGTCCAACAAAGTAGCCGTGCGACTTCACGAGACCAGAGTGGAGCCGCACGGCATTCTACACGTCTTCGTCGATGTACATTCTATTCTTAAAGCCATGACAGTGGTTAAATGGTTCCCATGACTCATTCATCCGTGTTTTCTTTTTTTTGCAGAAAGTGAGGAGGAGCTGCAAGAAGCTGGTACAGAAGCTCAGCTGCGTGGATACTCTGTGAGAGATGCCCTATGACCCGGACCTGTCTAGTTCCTTACGCTCGAGCACTATGCCGACACGAGCAGGTTCCTCCGACACGACGGCTGCTAGGACCTCTTATGTTCGTACTCCCGGCAATGCAGGCAAGGGTCCTGCAGAGCACGACGTTGAGGAGGACGAGGATGAGGATGAGGAGGAGGACTACGATGAGATTGGAATGTCTCCGCTTGGTGATGCACTATTTTCTACATAGTTCAATGAACAGATACTTGAAACAACCCTTTGACATATACGTCACAATTACTTAAACATTATAAGTAACTATGCCTATATTGTAATTGCAGGGTCCTAGTTACAGTCAGTAGTACCACCGGGTGTACCGCCAGTGAGACCGTACCGACGTTGGGTTCACCCCTAACGTGCTGCCTTCACGTCCAAAGAGGCAGCGACGTCCGCGGTATCCATATACTCCTAGGTCATATGAGTTCTTGAGGATGACATGGTGCACTTGTACTTAGACACCCATATACTGATGGAACATGTAGTATGTCGAGTAATGTCGAACTAATGTATTGATGAACTTGTGTCGTAGTTATGACTTGCTGAACTTATGTCGAACTTGCGATGAACTTGCGATTGACAGAGGTATTGTCGAACTTGCGATGAAGTTAGTATTGCTGAACTTGTGTATTGATTGACTCGTGCATTTAACTTCCTACTGACCTATTCGTTAAAGCAACACGACGAAATAACTTGGCTCATGTGAGAACATAACAGAAGAGCCTTGTTCCATTTGCTGCCGCTTTAACTGTCGCGCCATGGCTGGGGCGCGTCAGCCTTGCCGCGCCGTGTGCCGTGGTGCGACAGCTCCTACCACGCCAGCGACCATGGCCCGGGAAGTGCCACGTCATCGTCGCTGCCGCGCCGCCATGCATGGCGCGACATAGTTGTTTTCCCGCGCCGTGGCAATAGGCGCGGCCAAAAGTGCTAGATTTAAAAAAAACAGTGTTAGAATTAAAAATAGTTTAAAAATGTTAAAAATAAAAAAATCAAGTGGGTCACGTCCTGTGTTACTGCCCGCTCGTTCGTCTGTGTTACGGGCCCAATTAGCTTTGCTTGTGCTGGCAGCCTCGGCCTGGCATTGGGGTTGCTAAAAAAAAGCATAAAAGCCCTTGGGCTTGGACTATGGCCTATGGGCTTCTCAAGCAACCGATCCGGCCCAAAGACGAGCAACGGTAAAAAGTTCCAAAACCAAATGCCCCCGCTCCTCCAAAACCAACTTGCAGGCCGAAACGGCAAAATTCCCCCGCTAGCCTTCGTTCCTCGGTACGGCGCCGTACCGCTACCGTCGTCTTCATCCCATCTCCGGCCGCCAGCCCGCCACGGGGCTCCCCCGGCGGCGCCAAGCTCTCCACGGCAGCAGGGAGCTCTCCCCTTCCCCTCCGACCACCACACCACTCTCCTCCGCGTAGCTACGAGGTCTCCCCCGGCGCGGCCCCCCTCCTCCTCCATCGGCCGTCGCCATATCCGTCCTACGCCACCGTGCATCTCTCCAGCACCACCAAGCTCCCCTGTACGGCGCCGTGCAGTTGCCGTCTCCATCCCATCCCATCCCATCCCATCCATATTCCCCGCTCGCCGCCGCCGGTGAACTGTGCTGCATCTGCAATCGACCAAAGGCTCTCCGCCACCGCCGCGCCCGAGGAAATAATAACGCCGTCCACTAATCCATCCGTGTCCCACCCACTCTGATCAAGGTACTAAATCTGCTTCAGATGTGAGACGGTTTCTTATTCCCTCGAATGATTTGATCTGTCGATGGCGATTAGATAGATGTGCAAATAGTTGTAGCTGTTGATCCTTTTCGATTTGGTTTAGATTTCACTCTGCACTCGATTCCCCTCCGTCCCGTTTTTTTTTCCTTTGCTTCCTGGGGATTGAAGGGGAAACCTAATCCCTGTGGGGAAATTAGTTACTTGGTGAAAACGAGAGGATGATCGTCCTGCTCACATTGTCAAAAGTTTCAATATCTATTGTAGGAATAGTAGTGGCAAAAAGTCTACTTAACACCCCCACCTTTCATACATGGTCTATTTCACCCTCCAACTATGAAACCGTCTGTTTTACCCTCTGAACTTTTCAAAACCGTCTATTTTACCCCCTCCAGACGGTTTTTGACAGCGGTTTTGCTACAGTAATGGTGGGTTTGAAATTTCTTTTTTTCGGTGAATCTTTGAAAAATCACAGTAAATAATAGAAAAATCATAAAATAAAAAATCTAATTTTGTTGGACTCCACATGAGTAGATCTACATAGTGAATATATAATACGGTATGCTTTAGTACAAAAATTTTACTGTAGCCTTAGATTAATTGGAAAATCTAATTTTGTCTGTAATTAATTGGAATAATTCATAGCTGCAGCTTTTATGGTTCAATTGTGGTGAAATTTTTATGGTACGCTAATTATTGTATTCTTGAGCTATAGTAAAAATTTCGTACTCATTGGACTATGTATAACTTAGTTATAGATAAATTCTAATTAATTATAGAAAAAATTGGATTTTCCAATTAATATAAAGCTACAAAAAAAATTTGTACTAAAGCATACCGTATTATATATTCACTGTGTAGATCTACTCATGTGGAGTCTAATAAAATTAGATTTTTCATTTTATGATTTACTATGATTTTTCAAAAATTCACCGAAAATAAATAATAAAAAAAGAAAATTCAAAACCACCGGAACTGTAGCAGAACTGTTGTTACTGTAGCAAAACCGCCGCTGAAAACCGCCCAGGGGTAAAATAGACGGTTTTAGAAAGTTCAGGGAGTAAAACAGACGGTTTCACAGAGGGGTGAAATAGACCAAGTATGAAAGGTGGGGGAATTAAGTAGAATTTTTCCAATAGCAGTGTATAATAGTATGTTTTATTATGCTTGCATCAGATAATTTTCTCACCTTCTACGCTCATTTTTTTGGCAGCTAGGCGGGACAATGCAGCTCAGGTCCGGGCGTCGCTTAGTGTACCCACCGCCGGAGCCGCAAGGAGGTGGCCATCGCCGCCGGTCCCAACACAGCTCAGAGGACAGGATCAGCGGCCTCCCAGAGGACCTGCTCCTCGAGGTTCTCGCCCGTCTCAGGTCTCCCGCTGGAGCTGCGCGCGCCAGAGCGGTCTGCCGTGCCTGGCGCGGCCTCTGGACCGACCTTCCTGAGCTCTGGTTCTACAGCGCCCAACCCCTCCATGTCGAGTCAACGCTCGCCAGGATCACCCGTCCCTCGCTGGACCTCCTCGACATCAATTTGTGGGCAGACTGGGCCGACGACGAAGACTGGAATTGGCAGGTATCCTTGCTTCTCCACGGCGCCGCACGGGTGTTGCCGGATAAACTCATCATCACGGTGTCATGGGTCCCCCTAACAAACTACGCCGTGGATCTTCCTTGCTTCGAACGCACCTCCTACCTTAGTCTTGACTTGATGGGAAGCCTCCCAATTACGTTGCCACAATACGGCGAGTTCACTGCCCTCAAGAGCCTTTATCTGAACTCGTGCTGCATCGACCTTGGCTCCCTGCTCCCCCTCTGCCCATGCCTGCGCATCCTGAACATCGGGAATCTAATTGTTGACACGGTGATTGTTCACTCGCCGTCGCTTGAGGAGTTTGTCTTGGAGGTACACAATTAGGACATTAGTTGCATTGACATCGCGGCCCCAGTACTTAAGGAGGTGACATTGGATGTCGATATTGCTAAAGGCTTTAGTTTGTCTTTCTCGGCACCAATGGTGAAGAAACTCAGATGGGGTTGCCATTTTCCATGTGTTTGTGTTGGGTTCGGCCAGATATGGCGCCTCATCAGCATAAAGGAGCATGAGCTCGATGATTTCCATGTCGTCTCGCTGAAATTAATGAGTTCTGCTAATGTGCGTATGCTACTTTGCTATGCTTTTCTTCGAAACTTTTATACCAAAATTATTATGTTATTATATGCAGCCAAATGGTTTTCTCCATGTGATGACAATTTCCTCTTTTGATAACATTGGAACACTCAATTTGTAGATATGCAGGCTGGTCTTTTGGATGCAGAATGGAGCATTGCACAAGTGATAGCTCATCTTCCAATGACTGTTTTTTTCTATTTTGGAGCTGGATCTCGATACAGAGGGGTGACATGCTTTTGGACCATTGATGTTGCGTCTGCTTCGGATTCAACCAACTATACAAAGACCTAAGGTGGTCCTAGCACGTGACAAGGTAATCATTTGGTTGTCAATTCTGTAGTTATGTATTCTGATTGGCTACTAAATTTTACACAGCAGTGACTAACCATTGTCCATTTTTCTTTCTGGTACGAGTGCCATGTCCAGTAAATTGTCCTTGTGAACAGTCTAGCAACTGGAGAAGTGAAGATGTCTCTTTGGCGAATCTTGAAGTTGTTGAAATTCATGGCCTGGAAGGAAAAGATGATGAAGTTGATTTCCTAAAAATCATACTCCGATGTGCAACAGTGCTTCGGATATTGACAATGACTATTTCTGATGACATCTCACCAAGTAACAACAGCTATGAGAAGATCTACAGCATTATGAAGGAGTATCCTGATGTGGAATGCCATGTTATGGCATCTAGTTCTGAGGAGGTTCTTTATCCATGAATAGAAGAATATTTGCAAATGGCAACTGGTGACGTCATTATGCTTTCGTCAATTTTTTATCTTGTTGATATGTTTTGCTAGAGATTTCTGTATGCAAGTTTCATGATAAATTTGGTGGTGATCACTACACAGAAGGTGCCGTTGCCTATTAGTAGATCAATGATTTGCATCCAGATCAAGCTCTAGTTTAACGTGTCCCACAGTAACTCAGTAAGGCTCAACTCCTTTGTATTGCCTGCTAGGCAAGCTAGACAAAGGGAACACGGCCTTGTCTCTGTACTCATGTCAAGCATGACTGCACTCACAATGTAATGTGCAAAGAGCACTTCAAAATTCCCAAATGCGAATGTGTAGCCCCATCTTTTCACTATGCCTTTGATGAAATGAAATCCAGTTTAACCTTTTTAAAATAGAACTCTTTGTAATTCATGAACTAAATTTCAGGTCTGGTTAGCATGTGGTTTACTGGTCAAGATAGGGCAAGTTCAGTTTGTCGGTGCTGTTTTCTTAGTTTTTTTTATATAAAAAAACTAAAAATAAAAGACACATTACAAGCCTGAGAACTTCCATGGAAAAAGAACTTTCATCTAGAGGAACAGTTCTGCACGATTTGTTCTCAACAGGCCAAAGCCAAGTTGCTTCAACTTACCTTTCACTTAAAGATTCTAGTGTTGTCCTCCAACAAAAAATGGTCCTGTATTTTTCCTGCACGTCTTGGTTTTTATTGATCAGGTGTACTAAAACTGAATCGGCCACTCCCATCCCAACAGACCGTTATCTGGTTTAAGCCATCAGAAATTAATTGCTGGAAGATATACGCGGTCAATTGCCATGCTTGTTCATGGAAAAGATCCCACATAATTACCCGGTCAAGTAGTACTGAAGTAGATGGATATCATATAAATATTTGTCAGATAAATTCGCAACATCAGGTCAATGCATGTTCCCACTTAGTTTGTTTGTTTCCTCCATATGAAAGGATGCTCTTGGGGCTGGGATCATGCATATTAGAGGGATTTTCGCATTAGATAAGACCATCCCAAATGCAGGGGTAAGGTAACCCAACAAGCATCTCTGCCTCAATTCATACAGAACCTGCCCTTGGAAGTTCGAACTGCGATGCAAGTTTAGGAAATGGATGATGACTGGCTGGTGGGTAATTTGCTCTTCCCACCGTTTCAAAACAAACGCAAGTCAAAATCTTCCAACTTTGAACTACCTTTGGATGATATCGTTCTCCTTGGTCATCCACTATTTTCTTCCGTTCTTAGTGAAGGACCGAAAACGACGACTAGGGTGGGAGTGGATGAGAGTCTCAAAATTTCTTTCAAAATATTAAGCCGCTGTCCAAATTCACCATCAAGAACAAACCATAGCATACATTCCCGAATCTAAAATACCCAAGCCAACGAGTCAGTAGGAAGACAACGCAAAAGACAGGAACGTGTATCGGAGCTCAAACGACCAAACTACGGACAAGACAGCGAGGATGGAAAATGGCCTGGAAATTCCTTGGGTTTGGACCAGAAATTCGACCGGCTAATTTTACGCAGGGAATCAGACGTGCACCGGACAGCCTTGGCCGGTGCACCGCTCGGTCTTGGGCGCTGTACACCGCACCGTGGGGTGCCAGCCGAGCGCGCCGAGAGAAAACGGACCGTGACCGAGCGCTGCTCCTTGCCGTTCTGAAATTCCACGAACCTGACAGTGACTAACTCAAATACGAAACAACGAACAGAGAGAGGCCAGGGAGGGAAAACTGCGGCAGAAGGAAAGATCAAGCAAGTAGTAGTCGGACCAGGCAGATTGGGATTGCGGACGGCTGCCCCTGGAGTCCAATCTACTGCAAATCCAACCAGCAGAAAAGGAGAGGGAAAAAGTGGAGCAAACTGCCCTGTACTGAGGACGAGCGGAAGACCACCGCCGAGCAAGCCTCCACTGAAGGGCCACCGGTGCCCGAACCTGTGTGCGCTGCCTGCACCTCCGATTAGCACCAGAGGACCTCGAGCAGAGACGAGTGCAACGAACAGAAAAGGGGCGGCCAAAAACGAACCAAAACACGATCAAATCACCATGATTCGTTTCCAAAATTTGCAGAGATACAATTCAACTAGGAACGATCCTATCCCAAAAAGATCATCGCCTGAAATCAATCCAAACTCCGGGGCTGCACGATTTTGGGAAAAACGGGAAAACGAAGAACAGAGAACCAAAACGCGAAAAACAAAAACACACGACACCATGATTCCGAATACCGAAGGGCACGGTGAGGTTAGGGCCTCACTTCCCAACTTAGAATTTCACAAGTGTTTACACAAATTTAGAATTCGTGGACCTCGAGAACAAATCCGAGGAGGGCGACTAAATGAGGAAAAAATAAAAATGTCCGAGATTGAGCCGAGGCAGCCTGAGGACATATCTATTATACAATTTCACTGATATTTTTAGGACGAACCACCTAGCCTGAGGATATTATGGTGTAGCTTGATTTCTTACTTTACCTCGACGCAACCTTTGTGATCCCACCACGTGCCGTTCCGTTCCTCATCGGAACCTCCGCCTGAGTTTTGATGCCCAAACTCGAAAATAGTTCGTCCGATGGTTTTGAGGCCCAAACCACCAAACCGTCCTCGAGTAGCGTACTCCGTACGTGGCCCCCGCAACTCGATGCGTGTTACCTCCGTCCTCGACCGCTCAGACATCAAGTCTTTCAGAGCCTCGCTCGACTTGTACGTCCACCGTCTTGACTCGGTCAACACGGTCACTCCTCCATATACACCTGTGCTTGTCGATGTCCCCATATGTCAGCCACCGCGACTGGTCACTCGGCCTCCTGGTCTCTCAGTTCAAGCCTCACGTCCGTCCTTCATCGCTCCTGGTCCATCGGCATGGCACGTCCCTACTTGACTTTCACCTTGCCGTCGACTACCGCTTCCAAGCTCTACACCTGCGCACCACGAGCCAAGAGACGTTGCACAACCCAACTCACACTATGGCTAGTTCATAAACTCAACCCAAGACGTGAATCACGTTGACAATCACTCATCACAAATCCAAACCACAAGGGCACGTATCAACCTTGTGTTCACAATTAGAGAAAAGAATAAAGTTCGATCCAATCCACATCGTTCTGAAGCCTATATGTTGTTTTGTCTGACGAAACAAAACAGAAAGGGGGTTTCTTCTCTTCCAGCATATTCGTTTGTTGGTTTAGGTCAGGATTTATCAGTCAGCCAACAATATTTTTCTCTCACAACAAACCAGCACTAGCTGGACTTATCAGCCCATAAACTAAGCAGCGAACAGTCTCCTTTTTTCCAGGGGCATGTTCTGGGTGGAAAACCTGGCCCCTGAAGCCGAGCAGCTCCTTCCCACTGTGTGTGATCCAAAAGAAAACAGAATGGTGTCTCTTCATTTTCTAAAATTCGGTTCCCCCATCAAGCTGTACGAGATCGAAGGAGGCCACGTGAATCTTTAATCTTCCTTTTACTCTCCTCGCATTGCATGTACAGTACAACAACATATGGCGAAATGAACAACACAAACAGTATACTCTACAGCAGTCAGATCCTGCCTATCACCACCGTCAACGCTAAATCGAAAACCTGTCAAAAGTTTAACAGGCTGGGCTACCAAAACGGTCACTGAGATTGGGGGTGGAAGTATTGCATCCCAGGAGGTGGCTGCATGGGCCCGCCTGAAAGGAGGGAACTGCAGTCTGAAGCGCTAGGTTCATTGGCATCTGCTAGTTGCAAAAAAATTTATAAAATTTTTCAAGATTTCCCGTCACATCAAATCTTTAGACGCATGCATGAAGCATTAAATATAAATAAAAAATAAAATTAATTACACAGTTTAGACGAAATCCACGAGACGAATCTTTTAAACATAATTAGACTATAATTGGATATTAATTGTCAAATAACAACGAAAAACACTACAGTTACATTTTGCTAAAATTTTTGGCATCTGAACAAGCCCTGAAGTATCGGTGGCGCTGGAGGCAGAGTCTGCGGCATGACAGCCATTTGAGGCTGTGGAGGCGGCGTCGGCGGCGGTGCTCATCATTACACCTCCAGGCTGAGGGACAAACTGCTGGGGAGGGGCCTGGTATATAGATATTGATATTGTACTGGGGCTGCCTGAGGTGCTTGCTTGTTGCACTTAAGATTGCCTGGGGCTGCTGCTGAGCTGTTGTGGCAACCATTTGTGGCATTGGAACGAAAGCAGCAGCATTTGCGACGCTTGGTACCTGCGAAAGTTGGTCAGTTTTTTGCCTCTTATCTGAGCGGGTTTCAGATGAATTTTTCAGCAGCAAACTTGGAAAGTGCAGACTGCAGAATCTGCAGAGTTTGATGACGCTGCAATCTTGTCCGCGAGGATAGCAGCAGCTGTCTTATGCTGCTCCATGCCTTGCTGAGAGTTTGATGACGCTGCAATCTTTTGAGCGCTTGCATCTTTTGGTCATTTCCATATCCACCATACTCCATGCCTTGCTCAAGCTTATTTTGTGGATTAACCTAAGTAAAGCATTAGTTCATTAATTGTTACTCAGTTAAAAAAAAACTACGAACTTTCACGTACCCTACTCGTTTTATTTTTGGTACCCAACTCGCTCATGCCCACGGGTAGAATTTCACATCCATACCCTGACCCACCGCATACGAAAGCCAGACTACCATCCCTAGTCTCCAGAGAGAGATGATGCCCGTGAATTAATGGTTAATATAATAATATTCACAGCTAAAAACTGCTGCAGTTGAAATTACAGAGACAATCACCAGGTTCAACTCTTTGAGCTCTTCCTGAGGTGCCTGCCAAAGTGAAATGACAACAAATAAACAGACCAGAGCCAAACTGGCGGTGTTGTACATCTTCTAGATCGCTATCACAAACTTAAACCCACTACAATTACGCACAAGCAATCTGAAACAATGATTTTCCTTTTCATGATCTGTACAATAATTATCCTGTACACGCTTTTGATGCTACAAAGAGTC